CCCCAAAACCCCAAAACCCCAAAACCCCAAAACCCCTGGGTATATATTTTAAATTGAATTTACATATTAACTTCAGTGTTGATAGTCTCGCTAATCTCTGAGGTATTGATGGCTAATTCATCTGTATTTCTTATGTTAGGCCCAATGACTGATAGAAGTGGGCCAAGGATAATTCTTTTAAAGTAGTTAGAGTATTTCCCTTTAACATACTTAGCCAGCATTTCTTTGTTCTGAATTTGATTATCAATGTCATACCAATCAGAATCTCAAGCAAGCGTGATACCTGTCCATTCGTCGTAGTACTCATCATTGAACTCAAGTGTGAACGAAAGCTGGAACATGAATTTACGCTCTTGTTCGATAATTTTGGATTTATGAGCCTTTGCCAACCTGTTAAATTCATTGATAAGGATGATTTTTCCATCTCAGATTAACTTCTTTAGTGAATCTAGAAATTCTTTTGTAGTCTTATTGGATTTTATACCGGATACCAGTTTTTTAACAATGAAGATTAAAATAGCAGTAGCATTAGTAAGTCCAGGATTAGGATCTGTCTTTTGAATATACTCAAGCAGCTGTTTAATACTTTCAAAGCTCAAAGCATAAGTACTAAGGAAGATTTCAGAGTATTCACTTGGAGATCTTCCTTGGTTCTCTTTGTACTCGTTTGATAGTGTGAACGCTTCCTTGATTTTTCCTCAGATTGTAATGAATTCATCGGAAGAAATTGTAGTCCAGCATCCATTCATTCTTTCTAAACTTTCTTTGATTATAGTAGCATCTTTCAATAAGCTTTTTACTGTATCTTCTGTCAAAGGATTGTTGGCAAGATTGATGTCTCTGATCTGATGTTTTACTTTTCTACAGAGTTTTAAAAGTTCATCATATAACTCGAAGTCTTTGTGAGAGACCCTAACTTCTAGACCTTTATAATCCACAATGTGGGTGCTTGATTCTAAGACTGTATTTCCCATTTTGCTAAATCTTATAATATTCAATATTATTTTAAACCCGAGGGGTTTTGGGGTTTTGGGGTTTTGGGGTTTTGGGG